TGCACAATGAAAGCACAAGGCATCCATCCCAAACAAAACGGCTTGAAAAGTGAAGTTGCTTTTTTAATCAGATGCTTAGAGGCTGAAAGACATTCCCTGTTGGAAAGAAAAGGGCAAGCGCAGAGCAGGCTGGCCGCTTTCCAGGCAGTGGACAATATTGACTCTAGAATAAAATGGGTTTTGCTTAGCGCTCGCTCCAGGGCACCAGCCTCCCTGCTTCGGAATAAATCACGCGGGCAGGCGATTCCCTGGCATGGGCTGACCCTCGGGTGGCTAACCGTGTGCCACAGCACCCCCTTGCCGGACACACGGATACCCCCTTGCCAGACACACAGACATGGAGCTGGCGAAGGCTCCGCTGCCGCCGCGCGCACGGCATGCTCAGAGGCAGCGCCCAACTCCCCCGCTCGCTGCCGCCTTGGGCTTCAGCCCGTGACGCGCGGTGGGTACTACACCAGCTCGGCCTGTTTTTGATGGGATGCAGCTCAACTCCGTGTGCTCCTGGAGGGCAAAGGAAGCCGCCAACAAATCAGGTGAAAAAATGGACTTGTTATCGAGGGATCTTTTGCCACCCTAAAAGCAAGTCAAAAAGCGAAAAGCTCTGATCTGGAAACAGGCATTTAAAGAACTCCACTGCAATGCAAGCAGCAGAAAGGCCGCTGTTTGCGTTCCAAGGAGGAGCAAAAAATTAATTTTGAAACCACAAAGGCTGATGCCAGTTGGTAGTGCCTTCTGGATGCCGTTGGTTAAGTGCAGCGCTGTACGGCTCCTCGGGCCCCGCGGGAGGCCAAGAGGGGAACCCTGGAAGGAGCTACTGTGGGATGTTGTAAGCCAGAAAAGCAGGTTTTGGGAAGGTGTCTAGGATATAGTCAGAGCAAAGTACTTCAAAATTGTTCACACTGGATTTAACCACAAGTAAAGAAAACCTGACCAACCGTGTCTTAACTTTTAAATAAAAGGCAGAGACAGAGAATACTAATTCTGTGTGGTCCTTTAAAGCAGCAGTTATCATCAGGCCTGCTTTTCTTCCCCCATGTATTTCTACCTCAGGCTACGCGCACTCCTTTTTAGCGCTGGCAGCACTTTGCTTACGTGGCCACCGAGTCTTCCCTGATGCTTCTGCTGCCAGGACTTGTCAAAGCCACCAGAACTACCCTCTCTCCAATACAAGTTTAACCTCTGCAAGCCATGGGCCTGAAAACCCCAGCCCAGAGACCCAGCTGTGAAAGACTGTCAGTAACACAGATGTCTGCCAGCAAATTACAGCTCGAGACAGCTCGGAGGCTTGTTTAGCAGGAGACACAGATCTTGCCAGCCACGCTACGCGTTTTGCAATGGTTGCTCAACCACAACGCGCATGGGGCAAGAGTGCAGGAGGGGCAGCTCACACTCAGCTCCTACCTAAGCAGGATTTATTTTAGATCCATTTAACACAGTGGATATTTCTCATCCCCACTGCCAATGCAGAGAAAAGGAGAAAGGGTGGGAGAACCGGAGGGAGAAGGGAAAGGCTGGTCTCAAAGCAGTTACAGGCAGCCTGGACTAGTGATGCGGTACACATTGCTGGATCAGTGGTTGTCCTAATGCTGTGGGGAAACTTGGCAGCTCTGCTACCACTGTGGGCTGTTGAGACAAAGCCAGTGTGGAAACTTCACATGAAAAAAAAGGAAAAAAAAAAAAAGAAAGAAAAAGCAAAAAAAAGGCCAAGTGCATTATGACAGACCCAAAGACAATAACCTTCTGTAATCCAAACAAGCTGGGCAAGCCAAGCCATTGTTGAGAATCTGAAGAGCTCCAGAGCACAGGAGAAGGGTAGAAATAAAGAAAAAAAATGCATACAGCTTCTAATAGAAAACACAGAAATGTCCTGAGTTTTAAAATAAAACAATTCATTTTCCTGAGGAAACATCAGAGCAGAGATAGTTTTACACCCTCTCACTAAAGGAGTCAGTAATTAAGTGTAAGAGTGGCTGTTTCTTCCTAACATCATCCGCACCTCTCTACATGTCAAATGTCAACACCCAGTGAATTCACTGACCAAAAAAAGGTTCAGACAATTGACCTTCTGCATTTTAAGTGATAAAAGTTTGGCAGTGTCTTAGTGCATCAAGCTCTGGCTGGCCAAAGCTCCATCTGACATTTTCTAGAAAACGAATATATGCTAATTTATTCTCCATGATAGATATTGTCCTTAGAAACAAATGCAGAACAGACATGTCCTCGGCCACTGTGTCCTGATGCATCCGTTAATTCTAGGAATTAGAAAGGGAAGAAAATAGAAGCAAAACCCTTGAAGTGGAAAACGACCACTGTGAAACACCCGCCACCTCAAACCATCGCCTTTGAGGGCCCACCACGCTGGAAATCTAATGTCTTGTCCAGAATCTCAACCATTAAAATTGACCCAGACTTTTGGATAAATAGAAACGGATTGCTTCTCCTCTGCTCAGGAGATCACTGCACACAATTCGATGGAAAATGATACTCCCTTGGGAAACACCCTGTAAAAACAAATGGATCCTTATTTAGAAGGGCTCCGATTTAGATAAATTTATGGCAATAGAGCAATTCCCTCACCATTTTATTGTTCTGTGGCAAACAAGCAAAGAGGTAATTGGTGCACTAGCTGTGGGATATGGAGCAGATAAAAGATTCTGATTTTTTTATTCAGGACAAAAACATAGCCCCCATTTTCCACTTCCAGCCAGAAGTCAAAAGGAACAGCAGGGAGAGGTAGCCTCATCACAGTCTCCACATGCTTTTGCTTGGCACAGGCCACCTCTTTCTGGGACAACACCGAGATAAATTCAGACTTGAATTTTCAAGTCACACTTCAAGTATTTATTTCGGAATAATTGCTTACAGCTAGGCATATTTGTGCTAAACTGATGATAATTTTTGCATTGACCATATTAGAATCTGTGACTGGATCATCATGTGTCCTACACTTGAAAAATCAACAGGAAAATCAACTCTCTTCTCCCCCCTGCCATATGCTGGAGTTAACAGAGTTCACACACCAGTACTGAAAAACAATACATTGACTCAAATCTGCCATCCGTTTAGACTTATCCAAGCTCTTCTACCTTACTCATTATTCTACATGTGAAATTTGTGTTCCTTCTTATTTATCTTTCTTCTAATGCCAAACAGTATTAGCTATGCAATAACCATTTTGACTAAGGTGAAGTGCTATGCACAGATTCACAAATGAGGTATAAACTGATACACAGAATTATCTCTTCGTTTAATTTTTAACCATTCCAACCCTGTATGCATCCCAATATTCCGCTGGTGATTTTGACTGGAAAAATCACAGTAAGCAGAACTTCCACTGAGCTTTTTGACATAGCTCTCAAGTTCATTTGCAACCTCTAGTGTACACGAATAGTTATTTTTCCCTCTTTGTGCTTTACTTGGTATTTATCAACACCAAATCTGATCACTGCGATGCCTGTTCATGTAAATCACTTAATTCTTTGCAGTTCCTCATGGCCCTTCTTGTTTATTGGGAAAAGAGCTGTGGTGTCACCGGCCAATGCTGCAACTTTTCAACCATTCTAACCTCATTTCCTTTCCAGACCACTAACCAACGAGGGAAATGCAAAACAACTCCCACGAACCTGGAGAAACTCTCTTTGCCTTCCAACCATGATGAAAGAATTCTGCTTTTACCCTCCTCTGAGGAAGTTCTTGGCCCACGATACTTCTGTAGCTCTCCCCCAAATTAGAATTCCCCCCCTCCCGCCTTCTCTCCAATAGCATCTCACATCTTGAAAAAGAGCTTTTGGAAGTCTACATGAAGCCATTCTTTACTGATGCCTTCAGAGACATCCAGGAATTTAATAAAAAAACTCCCTTTGCAGAAACTGGGAGAGTGTCTCATGATCTTCCAAATGTTTTGCTGTTTAAGTCCTCAGTTGATCCAATGTTCTCATTCTGTTCCTATTCTTTTGCTCATGCCTGTAGCCTTTTTAAAATGTGAAGTCATCATTCTCAGGGTGAGACTGCATATTCTACTAGCAGCTGTTCAAGATGATGGACAATGATGGTTATTCCCAGATTAACATGTTCTGCACAAACACTCCAGATAATATTAAGCTTAGATCATTATTCTGCCATTAAAACATCATTATATTTATGGTCTATAAAGTATGGGACAAATCAGAAGCATGTGGAGTTGTACTTGCGGGTGCGCATCCAAGTCTCTAAACCTACAAGAGTTCAGGCTTTTTAACCCCTTCCATTCTTTCCCTTCCTGAAAGGACATTCGCTAAGGATGCTAAAACACAAACAGCATGGAAGTGAAGACCATTTGCATATACAGGGCCTTTGCCTCTATAGATCACATACAGAGCCCACAACAGCAAGGATCATGGCTTCTTTAAGTGAGTGGGAGTCACTTGAGAAGGAGCCTCTTGAACCAACACAGAACAATGAAGACATTTACTCAGAGACAAAAAACTCATCGTTCTTCTTGTCTTCACTTCATTAAGTCAATGCTGTTCATTCAAGCCTTTTCGTTTTAGGCTGGCTATGACTTTTATTCAGACAGGCGCATCTCAAACAATTCCTCAAGGGTTACCCAAAGCAGGGGTCAGCTGTGCTGGAGTATGGGAGGCAGCTCTTCCCTTCTGCAAACATTCCTCAGCATGCAAAGGCATGATGGCCCACTGATCCAGATTCTATATAAAGCTACTTCCAAGATAGGAAAGTTGTTTAGCCTTCAGGAAGGTCCCCTGGCACATCTTCCCCTTTATGTGTTTGCTCCGCTTTGAGTGCTCACACGTTAAAATGAACCGAGGTCCTGGCTCTGGAGGGAGGTCAACTTATTTAAAAAGTTAACTTCTAAAAGAAAAATACATCTGAAAGAAGGAAATACCTTTTTCCCTTTAGTACACCTTCATGCTTGATGCAGTTTACACTAATCAAAGACACATACAAAGCAGGCATTAGCTGGGGAGAAGGCTGACCCCATGCTGAGAAGGACACATTCTTACCAGCCAGTCATGTTGAAGTCACGGTAGAGCATCCTCTTTCCAACTTCCTTGCGCTGCACCCTCCGTGGAAACTCTAAATGTGTGAACTCATTTCCCAGCAAGTGGGGCTGCATGTAAGCCTGTGGGCAGAAACCAAGCCACAGATACCACACGAACATCATAAAACAAGACATCATCTATTTTTAATGAGATAGAATTACCATCCCTTCCCGCTCCCTTCCCACACACTTCTTTTTTCCTCCCCCCTTTTAAACAAGGAAGACGATGAGCTCCATTTCAGCAAACAATGTGCACATACACCAGTTCTGACACTGCAGGGTGTCCAGCAGCAGCCTTACAGGGAGCAGTCCTCTTGCCCTCAAAATCCTTCACTTCTCCCTGCTCCTCAACATTTGGGATCTCTAAAGTACACCTCATCCACTGACCCTGAAGGAGCCTGCAGGGCTTTGTAAAACAGAACACATCTCCTTTTGTAAGTCAGTGACCTGAGAGAAGGGAACAATCAAAGGACAAAGCCATGGAACAAGCAGAGAGTTGAAGGAGTGTGTGTGGAGTGAAGCTCAAGCTTTTTGACTCCCAGTTCAGCTGTGCTAACAACACACAAAACCTAATATTACTACTACACTTTAATTTTCACTGCCTTGAGAAAAATGTTCCCTTTTACCTGCTCAGTGTGCTGCACCCCATCGCACAAGACACTGCAAATAAACACAAGTTGCAGAGCACTTTATTTTCTTGTTTTCTAAAACCTACTTCCTTTGTACAGAATAGCCTTCAAGAAGAGCAGCAGCAGTTTTGTGTCACAACCGCAACTAATGTTTTTGACGGTGTTACCATTCAAGTACTGCTGCTGCTGCCCTTTCTACTGTTGCTGCCCTGCAGAGGCTGGGATGCCTCTTTGCTAGAGCCGTGCCTGAGGCTCACGTGCTCCAGAGCTGACTGTACTCGAGAGCATCACGAGGCTCTTTGTCCACCACAAGATTTTTGGTTTGGATTTATTCACAGATCACCTGACATGATAGGTTAATCCTTAAACCTCACTCATTTTTCTTTAATATTTGCATAAACAAGCCTTTTCCCCTCCCTCCCCAAAGCCACATTGTGAGCGAGCTCTTCTGAAGACGCAGTCAAATTGGCTAGGGAACTGAAAAAAGTTGCGTTTCTTAACCCTTCTGCAGATAACTCTTTTTCCTTATCCAGACAGTTAAGGCAATAAAGTCTGTCTTATCTCCAGCAGCAGCTGCCATCAGGGCAGACCAGATGAGCTGGCTTTAGTTTGTGGGTTTGTCATAAATCTAGCGCTCATCAAAGGTGAGCGGCAGGAAGCAGTGGAAGCCCTTATTGATCTACCTGGCAGCTATCATGCAGACAGTTCACAATAAAATATTTCCTGCATTTAAGGGCCGAGCCTGCTCCCACTCAATTTAATAGGAGTTGGATCAGGCTCAGCACATCACAGCGCTAACCTTCCATCAGCTTGTCCCCGTTCCTGTCGCCAGACATCCTTCCAGAGAACACCTCGAGCTCAGCTGAAACGGGGCTGAGGGAGATTGCTGTGTGTAGCCGACAAGATTGGATTCTGCTTTCAAGAGGCGGCTTTCAAGCACGCAAATGTGATATTGACATTGTGATCCCTTACTGAAACGGGAGTTCCATCAAATTCTCTTTCTGTGTACAGTTAAGGGAATTACATTTTTTCCTGCAGTCTACAGTTAGCCAAGGTCCCCTCCTCCACCCAAATATTGTTTTCAAGGACCCTCTAATTGGATCACTGTTCCTCATTACAGAAATGGTTGAGAAGCACTAGTGACTTTTGAGAGGTCTATCAGTATTAGTCCAGATGAGGCTTTCCATAGTTCTAGAACTCTGGATTCTTTACTTAAAAGTACATGTAAACTTTTTATTTTTATTTATTTTCATTCCAGTTGCAAATATGATGGAACATTCCTAATGATTTATTTGATGTATTGCTACACATTTGACAGCAGAGCACTGGGTTTTTGTGGGTATTTTTTAATTCTTTCTAGTCTATGATATTGTAAACAATGAAGTCAGTCTGCTTTGAAAGTGCAATTCAGTTCACTTTTAAAAATGCACAGCCTATCTTGATTAAATCATTACAAATCACTTCTAGCTAAAGACTACTGTCGCCTGCCTACAAAACAAGAAGCCTTATTTAAAGCAAAAAAACTCATAGCTGACAAAGTGAAGTTATTTAACCTTTAGATTATGAGAGTACTTATTAGGCTGGATCACAGGTCCAGAAGAAAGAAGTTACAGGCTTTTAGCATTTTTCCTCTTGAAAACAAGAATTTCCTTTACTGAAAAGGTAAAGCGATTGGGAGAGACGGCATTTCATAAAGATTTACTCAGATGGAAAGTCTGAGGTCACAAGTGAAATAAGATTAATAAAGCTGGCAGAGTTACCAGTGGACTGCTAATGTTCAAATAAGATTTCTCTTCCGCAGCCAAGCCTCAATGCTTGATTTACAATCCAGGGATCTTAACTTGATTCTAATATTTTTGGCGTCAGTAGAACAGAGGGAAAAGAGCAATTTGGAAGCTTCTGGTGCCTGTGACCTGAATTCTTATGTGAAGAAATGGAGATCTTTGTTGGGCTTTTTTTTTTATTTTAAATTTTCTATATTTTTTACCCTTTTTAACAGTTTTTTTTGATGCTCCACTGGTAATTCTACAGGGAGAAGAATGTTCTACTATAAAACTCAGCTGGGACTTCCAGTCAGGTTTGTTGAGAACTGTTCTCCATTTACTATGAGACAAGACTCTTCTCCCTCTCCACCCCAATCAAACTGTGCTGCGCAGCAGAACCAGAAAATAAATAAAAAGCAACGTTTTAAAAATCTACAGATCTTTCAAGTAGATATACAAGCAGACACCATGAAACCCCCTCAAGTGATCAAACGAGAAACAAAAACGGTAAGTGAACTGACTAGCAGAATTTCATCTGTGATGAGGCACCATATTTTCCATTTTTTCATTTGTTTAGTCTCGATTTGCAAGGACCTCAGATCAGAAACACCATTCAGAGAACTTAAAATTTAATAAAAAGAGTGACTATCAAACACTTTCTATATCCTTACAAGGTATGTTCAGACAGCGCTGTAATTCTGTGTTATGGAACTGGAATATTTTCCATCATTTTTCTTTCAGAAGCTATTACAGTTTTTTGGCATAAATCTGGCATAGTCTGCATCATGTGGTTTTGGTACTGTGCCATTTTATGGTGTATTTTGTGGCTGGATGCATTACATTCAACATTAGATGTTTAAAATGGAGTCTGCTCAAGGAAATATTAGTCACGTTTCTTTCAAAAGGCCATTTACTTCCTGCTGTGTTTCCTGGTGATCAGCAAAGCAAACATGAAATTAAGATAAACCTAGACTTACACACTAGTAGCGTGCCAGTTAATTAGGTGGCAGGGAACACTGCATGTATCTTATCTTACCCTGATAAGGCCTGCTGATGTGTTTTCCAGCTCCTCCAGTACGCACTGCTCTGGGACATCACCAGCACTAGTGGTTTCACTGTATTATGTGTTATTTTCAGAATTGCTGTTTCCCCCTACACCAGCTATATCTTACAACTTTCTCCTCTTATATTGTGCCATTTTCTCCAATAGGATATTCTACTACATGGAACTACCGCTCACAACAGCACGCACAGCGCAACGCATCCAGAAGTTTTGCAAATTACTCAGCCGTTATCATATGGACGTGTTTAAGCCAAGCAGAGATTAAAACTAAAGGAGGTGGTAGTAGAAGAAAAGAGGGACTTAGAAGCCAAATCCATCCATGAATTGGTGTCTCCTCTTATGAAAGGCCAGGACCCTTTCCATAAAACCACACATCTCTCTTACCACAGCATTGTGCAATTTGTCAGATGGCCAAAGCAATCCTACACTGGGTGATGCAGGGAGCCACAAACTGTAAGACAATTAAGACACATCTGACTTGTAATTGAAGCACTGAATTGATATTTAGGAGATCTAGGTTCATTTTCTCTTCAGGCTTGGGTTCCCCAAGCATCCTTCAGCAGATAAGTTAGTATCACTTAATCTTCACCTGAACAATGAAATAAGAATAGGTCCTCTTTGAACCCACGCCTGTCTGGGCTCATGAACCTTCGTTTGAATGGTGCCAAACACAAAGAGCATCCACAGCTCACTGCCACTGATGGTCACCCAGACTCTACCAGTAGTAAAGCCTGCCCTGGTAGCAGCAGCACACCATCTTTGGTCTGAGCTGTGAACTTTCGGGGCACTGCCTGGCTACACGCATGAACACAGTATGCAGTAACACCATACTGACCTCACATGACATCTTCAAAGTGCAACTTCGATAACTAATAGAAATACACCCATCTGCAATACACTCATTCATCGTTCATTTTAAACACGTTTTCCAAGGGAATAAGTAACAAAATCTATCCATTTGCTGTTGCAATTTAGACTATCATGACTGAAATTAATAGTCTCCTCAGAAGATGAAAGGAAAATTGCCTCGGGCAGTCATTGCCTGCACAACTGCTGAACGTACCAGAGCAGTTCCCAGTCAATACTGGATTTTGTTCTCCCTCAAGATACACCGATATGGGAAGCCAGCACTTTCCTGGAGTAGGTGCTACGTGAGCTCTCCTGCCACAGTGCGAAAAAGACGACATACACAAAAATTCAAAGGAAAAGGAGGCTCATGAATGCCCACCAGTGGAAGGGAAGCAGTATGGTGCACTGAACCTCTAAAGAAGCTGAAGGACCAAAGGAACACTGGTGCAAGGCTTTCGTGCCTTACATCTTCAGAAGTGCTCTCTGACTGAAGGATTGATTGCCCACTGCAATACTCTCGCAAGTCCCCTGCCACAGAAGTCTGCCTCTGCCATACGGCCTGCCTGAAATCTGCAGCTGTACGCTAATGGGGGTGCAGGTGTAGATGGAGGGATGACCATACCCAGAGCTGCTCAAAAGCCAGAATGACTAGATAGTCACCTTGTTCTTTTGAAGTTGCCATGCCAGAGGCCTATGCCCAAGGCCATTCTCGGACACATGGCAATAAACCTGCACTAAAATGGGAGCTGGATAGGGAAAACATTTGTTTTCCCCCTCTCTCAGTTACTCAACCAGTACTAGCTGAAGCACAGTTTTGCCTAAGACTAGGCTAGAGGACTTCATACAGACATGCTCACATGACCTGAACAGCTCATTATCCCACAGATTTCTTCGCATATGGAAATTAGGGCCCAGACAGGAGAACATGAATCCAAGATGCCAGTTAACTTAACCCAACATCCTGCGTGGCTGAAGCAATCAACAGGCACTAAAGGCAGAGGAAAGCTGCTTCGCCCTGACTGTGCTAAGTGTCTACTGCACAGGGAGCCAATGCTCAGGAGCCTGCAGGCTGTAAATCCATACCCTCCCTTTGCCTGTGCAGTAACTTCTCCACAGTAAACAGTATCTCTGCATTTCCCAAGTAAAACATTAATGCTAAAATGATTAAGTGATTTTCTTCCTATTGTGCAGGAAGAGCAGTGCAACATGTTTGAAACAAAGAAACTCAGCTTTAACTGCATGTAAGAAAATAAATCCAAAGTAATTAACTTTCAGATAAGAACAGCAGAAGAGAATGTGGATAGTGCAATAGACTGATAGCAGAACCTGCGGACAGCCAAGGTGAGTAAGGAGAATTATTTGGGTTCTCATCAGCAAGACAGATGCAACCTTTGGAGGGTAATGTATATGTCAACCTTGTATGAAATTTGGAGTTGTCTTTTTTTTTTTTTTAAACACTAGAGTAAAAATGTTACTTACAGAATGTTATGTTTGAAATTATCTCTAATTTTGTTTCATGCTCTTGCTGTCTTGCATGTATTTTCTTTGAACATGATACCCATAGCCCTAGAATATTTGCTACATATAGAATTAAAATAAACAAACAAAGGTAAAGGAATTTTCCAAAGGAAACAGCAGAAATGCTTTTCAAATCAGCTGCTGTTTTCAAATATAAGCCAGAAAGGACATCAAAAGAGAAAAAATCCCTTGTAGGCAATGCTTTATCTTGTATTTCCTACAGAAGTAGCAGACTCCCTAGATACTAGAGATACCTTTTATTTTAAAGGCAAACAAATTATTTTCAATGTAACCGAACTGTAAATATTTATTAGGCCTCTTTTCCATTTGGTTCTCTGAATATGAATACTCCCAAAGCAGTATTTCCTCTGAAATTTTCAGCTTCAAGCTGGTGAACATGACTAAAAAAAAAATCAAACGTGACAACTGTGAAAACATTTACAATTTTTCTTAAAACCTTCCACCCCCGCCTTCAACCACCAGCATTTTGCCTAATTTCAAACCACAGTGTTTGGGCCAGGCTGAAGATAAGAGACACCTAAAGAACAGGGAACGCCACTAGCCTTGGCCTGTCCACCTCACGTCAGGCAAAGCTGACAGTGAGCCTGCCTTGGCTTAAGCTTAAATTTCTAAGAGGAAAAAGCAGAAAAAGCACAAGAGAAATCTCTCGGCCACATTAGGAATGAAGTTTTGACAAACAGCCAACCAATTTCAGCCAACCAATCTGAACATTAAGGAAAGACTTAAAAAGTACCAGGATTGTTTGCGCAAAAAATAACACTATGCATTTTGACTTACGTTTCCTGGGCAGTCAACACAACTTGATGTATAAAGCATCCCACATCTCCTCAGCTAGTCACCCTGTCCCAGCTTTATGGGTGCTGCTACACTAAATAAAACTAGTCTTTCTTCACCCATCCTATCCTGCAGCTACTAATACTTACTGAGATCACCTTTAAGTTGGATATCTTTTCCCTGATTGAGATACTATTGGTATACTATTAGAGCAAACGAACAAAACCCTGCGATATTGTTCACATGCACACAACGAGCAGTCTGTGGTATTTTATACTGTCACACAGTAAACGCTGGGATGGATTGAAATACCTCTGTGGCTTGTTAGCTCTATGTCTGAGCTCTCATTATCCAACACCACTGAGCTGCTGAAGGTCTGCAGCTGAACAAGGTACACAAGCACAGCCATGCTAATCGATGGCCTTCACAGAAGAGATAAGACTCCTTTCATCGGGATTTGCACCACCAGGCTTCTCTCCACATTTGCTGATGGCTAAAAGACATATACATGGTCAGTCACCGGCGTTCAGCAGACGTGGTCCTTCACTGAGCCACAGTAACTCAGTGGCATGTGTCTGAACCTTAGATATTACCAGGCAATGCTCGTCAGCAGCAGCACCTGATTTGCTCCTCAGGTCTCTTACCAGATACTGCAGTCGCTGGCGTTCAGTCTCTGGCGTGAATTCTGAAGACATTGGAATGACTTCACCGTTTCGTATTATTATAGCCCTGTAATAGTAATAAAACATCATCAGTACAGGAAAAAAAAAAAAGTAAAAAATACCCAGAAAACCGCAGGGTACAGTCACACTCTTATTCTCTTCAGAATCACAGTAAAATAAAGCCATTTCTTTTCTACTGAAGTTGTCAGCAGAACACGATAATAATTCCTGCCCTGCATCCTTTAGGCTGGATAAAGTATATTTGTATATGCCAAGTTCATTTCAGAGCTCACAAAAACATCCAAGCAACAAAGGCAAGAGTTATTTCAGTTGATGTCTACAGGGTATCCTTATTAAGTGAAACACAGACACCCAGAGGAGATGCTGCAGAATCACTGATTGTAGAACAACTCTTTGCAGGTTTTAATCCCAGTTGTGGCTGACACTGTCTAAGCTACTGGTTTCAAATGACTCATGCAACCAGTTTGCAATTATTGATTGGTCATATGTCATGTCAGAACATTTCTACTCCAACAGCAAATGGAAATGGCAAAGCAAATCCTGTTTAACACAAATTTAACTAGTTACCTGCCAAAAGATGACAGTTAATGGAATGACTACAGATCAGCCAGGATATTTCACATACACTTCTGCAAACGGCAGAGAGAAAATTCTCTCAAACACCTGCCTGTTGCCTCTTAACAATCTGCTATGCTGCATGCAAAATACGGTCTGATTCTTCCCTGGTGCAATGCCACTGTCTGAAACACAGTCACAAGGGGGAAGAATTTACGCAGTACTCCTACCACATTCTGTGGTCACGTATTCACTCACAGAATTGCGTTCTTTTATCTTTCCATTATTTACACAGCTCTGTAACTACAGTAATGCTTGGTGCTTTCGAAGAGCCAGATGAACTATGTATCATCCCAAAGATTTTAATGCCTGTTTTGGAGCGGTTTCTCAACCATCAATAGGTTAATTCAGTGTTTGGATAGTAGCAGTGCATCAGCTCTCCTCTTGAACTCACACAGAACTTGGTGTAGATAACACAAGCAACTGTCACTTGGATTCCAGTTTCTATATGTTTCAAATGGTCTCCTTTCTGTGATCTCTTCATCCTGTTAATGTGATATTTACATACTAGCTTGCTTCTCTTGATAATTTGATCAATTCCCTGGCATTGCTTCCATGCCAGGTATTCTGATGGCACCGCAATACCACCAACAAATATGGTAGGCACACGAAGACTGAAAACTTAACCTCTAAATTCAAAACACAGGCATCTTGAGAAAACCAGCCCAGGTACAACCAACTTTGTAAAATTACTGGCACTGGATAACTTTCCAAGTCTTCTGGATATGATATTGGACTAAAATTGTCTCCGAATGATCATCTACTATTGCTAGTATGCAAAAGGAAGGAGCATTATCGAAGAGGAAAGGAACTGTTCACATTTCTGAGATTCACGTGGCAAAGAACAGACAGGTAGAGGATGGTGCTACAATGGGACAGGTGGGAAAAGGCTCTAGTGATGAGGAGAAAACAGCTCTGCTTTGACAGATAACAAATTTACTGCTCCTAGGCTTCCAGCACTCCCTTGCAAATAATCCTATGTAGAAATCAGAGGTGGCAAGACTGCAAGCTACATACTGAAGTCTCCCACTGGCCCTCCACTGCTACAATTGAAAACAATATTGTGTGTTGAAATGAGACAGACATGGTGGTTGTAACTCATTAATTTTTTAAGAGAAATTTGTGCAAAATTTTTGATGGCATTTTTTTCCCCTTTATGGGATCTGAATACATTACAGGCTTACAAAAATGGTGGTCCAATTAAAAATAATAAAGGTGTGCTGAAAATTTTTCTTTTGAATTTCCGAGACAGTCATTTAAAAATGATTTAATAACTCCACCACCTCTTTTCTGCAACAACACCTTTGCTTTTATTTTTGCAATTGCTAAGGTATTCAGCTTTGAACCAGACTCATTTACTCAAAGACAGTGGACAGTTTTTATAACCTTTTCATATGTAATTTGACTCACTTGAGTAGGCCTCCATTTAAGGGGACTGTGGGTTTAGTACAGAGTAAGTACTCTGGCAACAGTCTAGACTAGACTGATCAAAGGAGCTGATCAGACACTAACCAAATTTTACACACTAGTTTAAGAGAGTCATAAGGGATCTACTGATCTTGTGCTTGTCTGAAAGAGCTAATATAAAAACACACATTGGTATAACTGCTAGGGCATCAGGCTAATTTTTTAATTATCCTTTGCTTCCCCTTTTATCACCATTTCACAGGAAACCCATATTTTAAAGACCACTCAGACCAGTCTGGGGTTCACCTTTTTCTTTGTGCACACTGACATACTTCCTATATACGTTGATAGCTATCATTCTCACTTCTATGGGTAGAATTGGGCCCTGAGGGACTCACATCATATAAAAAGCAATTCAGAGGCGAGTGGGTCAACCTTTCATGGCTCAACTTATTTTCACTAGAAATTGCAGCCACCTGGGATGAAAAGCACAACCCAGCACAAAAAAAAGCCCAATCCTTTGGAGGAATTAAAGCAATGCTGTTGATACCTGATAAAACAGAGCCTCAGTTTTATGTTTTTCATTAATGTTTTTTCAGCAGTTGGACTTTATTCAACTTGAAAGTTACAGCTGCTCATAAGAGTCAAATGATTTGATCCGAGGAATTAGACGGCTCTAGATATGAGTAATGGGAGGGACGTAGACATACATATACAGGTCACTGGTCTGAATTCAACTCTGGTGGGCTCATTATCCTCTTACCAGTCTCTTTACCTTTTCCGCACCAGCTGCTTAGCAGTTTCATGACAGCAAAGGGTATTTCTGACGGCCCAAGTGACAAAACCAGACACATTCATCAGCCATCTCACTGGAGAGGCTGGGTGCAAAAGGCTGGCCTGGGAGCCACCCTGCTCAGGGGGATTTTCCCCTGTGATTGAAGAGGTGCCGAATCAGGCCCTAATTGGGTTTGGAGACTGAACTGCCCTTTCCGTGACCTCGCAGTGACAGAGCTGCCAAGCACCGACTGAAGGCTTTTCCCACCAAGCAACCTCCAGAGCCCTGAATTCAATAGCCCAAAGTCAATAACTGCTCACGGGGAGGGAGCCTGGTTGACGAGGCAGCCGCCAACAGCCCAGCAACTGCTTTTAGAGACCCACTCTATACAGTCCTGCAGGACAATTAATTTTGACTTTACGCCTCCTAATGGACTAAGCAGCAACATGGCGTTACGTGAGCATTACTGCTCCTGCCATGCATGAACGATGCGAGTACACAATGAAATAGTGCTCTGAAAGCATTTAGTTCCCTGCACACTGTGGAAATACGAATGTATTATTTTATACCAGAATGCAGCTGTCCTATTAAACTGTCAGAAACAGCTACATAGGAAGCAAGAAGAACTCGAAGAGATGCAGTGCCCAGAGAGCATCTGATTCTGCCATGTTTAATAGCGACATTTTAATTTCAGCCACACTGGTGAAACACATTATAGCAGAGCCACAGGGCGAGCCTGCCAAAGGCAGCTGGATGATTCATGGTTGCAGGGAAGGAGTATGTCAACACTAACCAAATATTCTCTGCTGACAAGGTTGCTTCAGACACATACCAATCATGAATTTATATCACCAATGAAGTAGTAATTAAAAAAAAGGGTTTTTTGGCCGGATAGGAAATCAGGCATCACAGATCTGCAGCCTCCTCGGTGCATTGCCCTCCACGCTCTGTGGCTCTGAAGCCCTCTCCACGCAGCAGCATCCACAGCAAGCAAACAAACAGGAGAAACTGCTTGTAAGTCCTGAGGCCACAGAGGCCATTAAGTCACTTATTTTGATCCCTTCTAAAAACCAACTATAGATTTCCCTGAGTCCTCTCCCCTGTTTTGAACCCAGCTACCTAACTGCCCGCCCATGTGAACTACAGGATCGTACTTGCCCTTGCATTTCACAGATACGTGCTCTGCACGACAACAAAAGTATGCTCCCTAACCCCGAGCTGGTAAATAGTCACAGAAAACAGGAATATATTGGGGGAAAAAAAGTCCCCCAAACACAGCTGAAATAGCCTAAAATGGAAGAAACAAAAATCTGATTTTGTATCTCTCTTCTGACCACTTCACTGAGTATTTTCTGATCCAGGGAAGCTGTGCCCTGAACAACTAAATGTGGAGCAAGAGACGTGCCAGCGCCTTGGTGCGTAAGGCAGGACTGGCAGTCACAGCAAATCCTGCAGCGGGCTATGTCCACTCAGTCACACGCAAATGAAAAGAAACGCCAGGAGCTTAAAAGGCTGCATGTAAATCTACAGAAAAGACTGCATTTATCTTTTGGATTGACATAACTGCAAAGTCCATGATGATCGGCTAAATGATCTTTTGAGTATTTCAGCATTCACACAGAACCTTAAGTATATGATTATTTTCTATATTCAGATTCAACACTTTAAAACAATATTTAGAGCTTTAGTATATATCCCCTTTTAAAATACGTGGCGAATGAATCAACAAAAGGGTAAAAATCTGCCACTGTGTTGTACTGCTGCTCTCACACTCAGGCTGTAGCAACACCACTGGCTTAAGGAAAACATCAATACATCAATTGCTTTTGCATTTTTAATATGGATAAACCAGCCACCTCTCCTTGAATCAAGCAGGGTTTGTTTTTTTTTTTTTTCTTCTTTTGTGGAGAATACAATCAGCTGAGAATTGCACATCATCCTTTCTGAGTTTCTTATGAGAAACAAACAGAGGGAAAGTCATACATTTTAGAGGAAGCTATTGTTGGTTACTCTCATTTAATCATACAGAGAAAGAAACACTTTAGTGAACAAGGTCAAAAGTGTAATTTCACTGCTGTCATGGGTCTATTGGGATTCTGGTGTTCAAAACAAAGAGGCATCTCCTACTGTTAAGAGTATTCAGGGGACACCCTGATTCCATTACACACTTTTTCAGCCAAAAATGATTTGAAACGCAACATTAAACTGCACTTTTCTACAACAGAGGATAAAAATCTGGTAAAGGTGAC